CAAACAGGCGGAGGCGCATCATATCCTGTGCAAAAGTATCGCACTCGAAGAAGATTTGCTTCCAAGAAGTCTTCGAACTGGTTTGGTTCATCTCCTGGTCGTTTTACTACTTATTTTGCATAGTTTATGAATACGTTCATAAATACTGCTTCTGCAGCTCACCTGCTCTGCAGAGCGATGCCTTGGTCTTCTTGTATCATAAACCAAAGTCCACAATCAAGCTGCGGCTGGGCTTCCCTCAGCGGGTCGTGCAGCCGCAGGGAGTATCAAATGCAAAAGTGTCTGGGTCTGGAAGAATGCCAGGCTTGTCATGCAGGTTTTCCATGACCCGCGAGGCCTGGTATGTAGGACATAGCATTACAGATTCTGTGAGAGTTCTATCATGCCTATCCTGCATGAGAAACTGCCTGTCGCTTAAGTCAAAAGTGGACAGCTTTTGGCAATATGATTCAGATTTAGCATGACAAGTTACATCCCTTCCAGACCCAGACATTTTTGCAATCCATATTGAGTAGCCTCTTTAGTACAACAAGAAGGCGGTCAGAGAACATTATGCACTGTAAAAAATCCTTAATACGCAGATGATTGATGATGATGAAAAACCATATGTAGCTCATTTTCTATGAAGAAAAAAACAACCGCAACACCACAAATTAGAGTGGTGTACTAGTAGTTGCCTGTTTTTATGCGCAATTTCGTCCGTACTTGGTTTGTTCTTGTAAAAAATAATCCTACATTTGTTCAACTCGAGAAGATGAAAAAACTAGTAACTATAACTGCATTTTCAACAACATCAGACCGCATGGTCTGTCTCGTTTTTCCTTTTCCGGGGTTCTCTCTTTCCTCTTTTTAACGAAGGAAAAGGCAAAAGTTTTATTTCCGATTTTCAACCGTGATGATGTTCATGTACTTGTTGCTATTGCATGTGTTGTTTTTGTTTTTCATTTTTCATCCTGACTTCGGCCGTCGTCGAAAATGAGGTTTTATCTTCCTGTCCTATGTGGTGGAGTTATAGAATAGTTATGGATAGAGTACAACTATAGATACATAGATTTTGCGTTCAATGTCAATCGAAGAAGAAAAGTGAAAGTCATTCACAACTTCTACCTCTGCCGGTTCTTTAGCTGGGTAAGGCAAGATGGCAGCTCAGGCGGCAACCGCATGTTGGTCGTCGGGGGACTACTGGTCACGTTGCCCTGCAGAGCAGACTGGTGTTGTTCATCTGGGATGATATTATGTGTCGGCGACGGCAAAGCGTTCGTAGCAGCACCGCGATCTGCCGGACTGCCGGAGGTAGTAGCTGCCGAGGAAGAGGAGCGGCCGCTGCAACTCTCCGACTCTTCAAAAACCACCTCTAGTCCTGGAGGCAGACGGGAGATCAGGTTGTTGTTCTTGCCCCTGTTTCTGCTCGCACTAGAAGAGCCACCACGTCCACCAGAGACAGCGGCTCCTCCCGCTTTCCCTTCACCATCCAGCGACGAGGGTGGCAGGTCGCCAAAAGTGACGGCTTTAGGAACTTTGATGTTCTCATACGCAGGACCTCCTCCACCCAAGGGATGATGAACAAGAGCATCGTGCTGAGGACTGTCATCATAGCCTGCACCATCGTAAGATGGACCTCCTACACCTACAGCTGTAGGATGATCGTAAGAACCATAGCCATGCGTGGCCGCCGCATGATGGTGGTACATCATCGGATCGTCGGTCGCAGGATCGTAGTACGACGGACCAGTAGCTGCAGCGGCCATGGCCGCCGCCGCGTGGGCCGCCCGGGCCGCTGCGTACTGCTGCGAAACCACCAGAGCTGCGGCGTACTGCTGCTGCAACAGAAGCTGCTGCTGCTGCTGCTGCATCATTAACTCGTCCTGGTTCTTACCAGGAGCCGGGGCGTGAGTGGGGGATGCTGTCGGAGGAGCGTTGTAAAAATTTTGCTTCTGGTGCTGTTGCATATACTTCTGCTGGTGGTGTTTCCCCCCGGAGGCGCCGGCGCCCTTATTGTTATTTCCCCCACCCTGCTGCTGGTGTTTTGCACCATTTTTCTTGTTACCTCGGTTGTTGTGGTGGTTGCAAGTTATGCAAGAAAACAACTGCGTAAGTGTAGTAACTCTGTTTACAAAATTATAGACAGCCATAAAGTCCTCTCTTCATGTGTGTTTTATTTCCCGTATGAGCCACGCATCACAGGTTTTCTCTGTCATGGAGAGCAAATGTGTGAAGACGCTGTCAGCAGAAGAAAGTTACACCAACACAGTTTTTTTCTTGGATACTACTAGCGTGATGACTACTACTGTCACCCTTATGCTGCTTCACTTCCTCAACACTGTCCTCCAAGCTAGTTCTTGCGCTTTCCAAGCTACTTGACGTCGTCACAGGAGCTGGGTTCTTCTTGTTGTTCTTTCCACCACGACCACCTTCTTCGCCACTCGAACTCGGCTCCTTACTCGTTCCCTTCTTCTGCTTCGCCCGCTCCACCTCCTCCATACTCGCGTACACCGGGATCAAATCCCCATTCGGCCCCGGAACGTAGGCTGTCGGAATGGGTTCGCCCTCCTTGATTCGAGGCACCGGCTTCGTGATCTCCGGCATATGATTCACGCCAGTGGAGCTGCTCGACATAGCCTGTGCATTTGCTGGGGACGAGGAACCTGCACTATAGCTCTGCGGAGCTGCAGATGGTGCAGCAGTGTTGCTATCCACTTGCGACATTTTGAAAGACGAAGAAGTGGCGGTTGCAGCGGTCGTTGTACCAGTGGCGCTGCAATTTGTTGTAGAAGTACTATTCTTTTTCTCCTGCTTGGCCGCTGCCGCGGCCTTGGCCATATCCGCCAGGAGCGCCGGCTGGGGCCCGTGCTGGTGCGTCAGCGCGGAGTTTCCCTTCTTCTGATAGAACTGTTGTTGTTGACTCCCGACGAGCAGTTGCCCGAGCCCCCCGCCGTTCGGATTGCGGAGGGGCAGATGTCCTCGACCACTACCTGCAGATCCGGAGGTAGAAGCAGAACCTGCGGCCCCTGCTCCACCGGGGTTGTAGTTGTAGTCTTTCATGGCGAGTTTTCCCTGCTCATACTGGTTCCGCTTCCCGGAGACGGACTTCATCTGAATCCGCCGTCGCATGGCCGCTTGCGCGGTACTGGCCGCCGTCGAGCCGCTGTTGGTGCTACGCAGCGTGGATGCGGACAGAAAGGCGGTCGATCCGGAGAGCGACTGGTGGTTCAGGTAGAAGTTCACATCCCGGGACAGAGGCGGAGACTTGGTCGCCGCGGCTGTTGCTCCTGTGGTGCTCGCGGCACTAGGATCCTGGGTCACGGATGAATCCGGAACATCTGCCACCGCTGTGGTCAACGCAGTAGCCGTCTCATTCTTCGGTCTTACCGCCACCTGCACATTAGGCGGCGGCGCGGTGCAGATTTTCGGCCCCACCGCCGGAGAGGTGTGGCCGGGAAGGGACGCTTCCCGGTTTAGAGTGCCGGCGGCACTGCTAGGGATAATCATTTGCTCGTCCTGGCTTGTAGTTTTTTCAAGAACTACTACGCTGTCAACAACTCCTACATCTGCGTTTTGGTCGGAATGAACACCAAACCCTGTGCTCACGGTCGTCGGGTAGTGGAGGGGACCCTTTGATGAAGAAGGCACTTTACTCGAAGCAGACGCTCTTGATCTGCCCTGAGAGGACGGAGGTGCAACTACCCCCACGTTGTTCTTCGTGTACAGATGCTGATGAAAGGGGTCCTTCGGAATCTCCTCACTGTTCACGATCTGGTGCGCTTTGGCCAACCGCGCGGACGCGGTGTCGTTTAGGGATTCGCCGACCACGTAGTTTCTTTCCGTAGTGTATGCGTTGCAAATATGACTGGGTCTGGATTTGTGATGCAGGACTTCGGGGACAACAAGATCTGTAATGCATGAAGACCATTTGCCAGCTTTTTTGTCGTGCTGGACGGCAGTTTGTAATGCTAAACACGAATGAATCCGCAGGGAGCCGAGGGAAATTTCTCATGCTGTCATGCCGTACAGCTACAGGCAGCCAGTTTGCAATGCAAGTATAAGCAACACAAGTTTCCACACCCAGACATATT